CAGAATTATACGAGCACTTCTCTTGGTTACCGTATAGAGAACACTGTTAACAGGTGTTAAATCACACTGTGACAGACAACCAAGTGCCTGTCCGACGCGCCCGTGCTAGCCAGAGACTACCAGTAAGGCCACTGGCACGACGAAGACTTGTTCTCTCTCGTAGGCGAGAGAGACTGCCTGGAATGGTTCTAGAAGACACCTTCCTGCCCACTGTAACAGCGCTAGAATCTCGTCGCTGAAGACTTCAGCGCCCTTATTCAAGCTGCCTGTGGCATATCGCGCGACACGGTGTAGTGGCTGTTGTTTGGTTATTTAACATCGATGAATCAATAATATTTGAGTCTGGATAGTTCATTATGAGCTGGACAACGTGGGTTAGGTACACGTTTCTAAGAACGAAAGGAGTTTTTCTCCGCTCTACATCCGTTCCTAACCAGTCCAATGGATTATCGCCCTGATGACGGAGGCAGTAAGTACCTCTGAAACGGCAGTCAATGTCTACCACACTACACGGCAGAACATCCAAGAAGACAGCCATCTTCTTTCTAATATAAAAGCCAATCACATTCAGTCCCATCCATTTCTTATTCTCAAAACTCACTTTCTCAAAATCTATTTTAATACTATTCTGTCATTTTCTTCTTGGTATTCTGTGGCAGCTTTCCAAAAGCTGTCTTCATTGATATTCTGATTCCTTCATCCGAGTTACGAGTATAAATGAAAATTGTGTTGCCAATTGAGATCTTATCACTTCATAATGTTCAATGTATTCAGTAACAAGAACATATGACGTCATAAAGACCTACATGCTAACTCCAACACGCAGTGCATTGTGTTTCAGATTTCTTATTCAAGGTAAAGCAATCCTCATTGTTTCTGCTACGTCATAACATATCATCATCTGAAGATAACGGAATCAACCCTTGTCGATGTGCAATATAAAAATTTCGTCTGTCTTCTTCCCTTTGTCAAAACATCTTAGGAGACAAACCACTGAAAGCAGAAATGAACTTGAAAATTAATTATATTAGGCGTACATAAAGAGAAACATCGTAATTTGTATTTATATAGATCGCTTAATTAGGTTAATGAAATCAAGCAACTTAAGGAAGCCGGAAACCGTAGCTCAGCTTATATGAAGCTGAATAAAACTAGAGAAAGTCGGCGATGGAACTCCTAAGTAAAGAACGTCAAATCTGTTACGTCATTTTACGAATAACTGTCACGTTACGTGTTCGCGTTCATTAGTACACAACACGAGCTTCGACCTACCTGGATCTCTTTTTCTCTGGCTGTTTACCGGGATAGTAAGAGAAGGTCCTATTGTCGTCAGATTTCTCTGCCCTTCTAGAACCATTTATCATAGCTTATTAGAATTAAAAACAAAGAAAAATTCATCATTGTGATTAGGTACCGAAACAAGAAGGCGTATACGGGCCGTGGAAATGGAGCTCCATGACAAGTTTGTCCATTGTCATCACGTTACTGTGCATTCTCAGGTTAAAGTAAAGACGGCCTCCGGATATGGAAGATAGCTGCGAATATGTTTAATAAGCAGTAGAAATCAACAGATAGCGGGTGACCCTTCGGCTTGGTAGCTGGGTGTCGGGCGCTAAAGAGTCTTATGTTATAAATGATCATTAGGAGCCTCAGATTTGGATGATTCTTTGTAACGACCTAAGAACAAGATACCGCCTCACTTCCATTCTTCACAGATTCTAATTGAATCGCCCCAAGATTGGAGACAGATCACCAATTATGAAGCCGAAACAACTTTCATGTACTGTCCCAGTAGTAATGTGGAGAGACAGAAAATTTATGACAAATCTCAGTCAGAAGTGCCGGCATCCGGACAGAAACTGGCATTGAGAACCTTCTCCTTGGGCCCATGCTACTCAACATAACCCGTTATGCATGCAGTTTCTTCCAGAAATGTTACAGATCTATATTAAAGTAAGATACATTTAACATAGTCTTTGGGAAATTCAGACCTTAATTTAGTACGTTAGAAAGGAAAGTTGCAACTCCAACATACGCGATTCTTGTAGTTAGTCTAAGCTACTATTTGATAACCGTATTCAGTCATAAAATGTACCATTTTGAGCCCACTTTTATCATAAACTTGCATTATATATATATTTTTTTAATTTTGTTCACAATAGGTTTATGAAACTGGAGACAGCGCCTGCATCTTTTATGCAACATTCCGCTTAATGAAATTTGAGGTCCCAACCGTAATGAAGACGTCGATGTTGATGTCTTACGTTTTAAAGGCGTATGAGCTTGTAGGCATATACTAAAGTCTCGGAGGAACATATTTCTTTCACCTTCAGGCATTGATGAAGGCAGTATGTTCATCCAAAACGTTGTATTATGGCCTATTATAAGTCTACACAGCGGTACAACCCAGAAGACGAATATTAAAGTGTTCAACACCGTAAGAACCTCAATTGGTTGGTCAAAATCGTTGGCACTTTCTGCAGAAACCATAAAAAGCAAGCCACTATGGCCTCCGACTGTATTTAGCAATAGCATCCCTCTCATTCACGGCGAAACTCAGATCTCAACTCCTCTTGGTTAGTTGCCAAAGCGACCGGTTGGTCTAGGAGTGGTCCCAACTTGCCTTACTTGGCGTTGGACCCATGACGCACGTAATATTGTTACGAGTATAAAGTCAGGCAAGCAATTCATTTCATCTTATTAGATGACTAGGGATTTCAACAGCCATCCGTGTGGTAACACAACAAATCTACGAACTTCTGACCCACAGCAGTGCACGTTTCTTATCCTGACATTACTTAGAAATCTCTCTCTAATGAATGAAATATGGCCTTTCCTAAAGCAGGCCCCCCTTTGTATAAAAACGTATAACCTACGTTCATTCATAATTCGAGCCGTGTCTAGTTATTCTGAAGCTGTAAACTACAAAAACCCGGTGTTAGGTGTTTTGCGTACACAACTCAGATTAACAGATTATTAAATTCGACGCGTACATTCATCCCTCGCTGTCATTAAGCATTTGTGCGATACATGTGAGCAATCAGACGTATTCATCTCCTAACAGTAAATCCACCTAAGACACATTAGTTACAACGTAAAATTCAGTTTACACAACAAAAAGGAAACAGGAAAAAACAACGTATACATGAAACGAAGAAACATGCCAGCAACGATCGTGTTTTATAAATGTAGGCCTATATTCACGAAGTTCGCTTTAATATGTGATAGAATGCTATCATACCTACAGCGAACATCTTCACCGAAATTACCTCAAAAACAGCCCAGCAAGCAAACACAGTCTAGTTGATAGCTCGAAGAAACAGAAGCTGCTGATATTCACTATTCGTAACCCAGTCAACATCTGTTAAACCCTGCTCTAACGCCTTGCACTTTAGGAAACTTCTCTGTCATAGGTGTAACGCTATTGCTCTAAACACAGTTCTGCAGGGGAAGACCGCGTTTATCACTTCTAGAATATAATTCACCCTGCAACGAATCACCAAGCAATGGATGAATGAAGATCAAACTCCACGAATCCTATACTTCGACACAAAGTGTCACGTTCAGGTTGTTTTGCCTTCGAATTCTGGTCGTCCGGCTGTAGCAAGCCATTTTACAGACTGAGCTATGCAGCTGCACGTAAAACCTTTGGAGTCCTTAAGAGTATGTCAAACAATATCTTTCTTGATATTTGTTTGGCGCTTATGTGAAGACCTGCACACGATAACGAACGTGAAAGTTAGCATGACTGCAGAAACCGATGACAAATCAGATATGTCAGTGAAGTGCAACGTGTTGGTATTCATTGCTAACATACGAATCGACTGTGGTAAAACACGTTAATATTCCTGTGTAAACATCTGTAATGCTCGCGTACAAGACGAAAACATACAAAACTACTTTCCCGTTATTTTATACGGGGCTTCATGAAGTGTTACACTGAGGAAAGACCATATATTTTAACGTGCTTGAGAACAAAGTGCTGGAGGGGGGATTTGCATACAAGGAAGAGAATAAAGTAGTAAAATGGAACAATACGCACAATAAGGAGTTCCATAATTTGTTCAGTTTACGTAATAATGACAGTATAAATCAAAGACCACTAAACGAACTGGACACGTAGCACGAACGAGAGAAGTAAGACATCCATACAAAGTGTTATTGCAAAAACCTCAAGATAAGAGACTACTTGAGAGATTTATGCGTACATGTACGGATAATATTAAAACTGGTAATCAAGAAAAATGTGTGAAGATGTGGACTGGGTTCACTAACACTGGATAGGATCCACTGGTGACTTGTCTGAACACAGTGACGAATCTTCGGTTCTCATAAAGCGAAAAATTGATTAGCCAGCTAATCAACTTAAATTACTCAACAAAGATCCTGCACCTTTCGGTTATTTAGTTAATCGGTTACTTAATCGGCAAGTGTCCAGCCCGTAAGAACAACATGCAAGGCAGATTTATGTGTAATGACATAACAGGAACAAAAACGTAAGACACGAAGCACTTCAACCGTCTTAAGTAGTAATAGCATAAAAAACTGGCCGGCCTCGAACAGATTTGTTGCCACATTTTGCAATTCTCGTAGTTGCTTGACAAACACACGTTTTCGAGCTGAAGCTTCCGATGTAAGAAAGAGATCTATCTACTGGTTTACGGTCTAAAATGGACTTCAAATTAAAACAAGTCTGATAGACAGCAAAGTGTATCTAATGCATTGACTTTTTAAAATACGGATATAAAATTCACGTGAAACAATTTCATTTGGGAATTGTTTATAACTTTAAACAAATATGACTTACTCTGTTGTGGGGTCTAATTGTCTTCGGGTGAAATGAAAGGGTGCCTGTTCTGATGAATCTCTTAAATGAAGCCAGTCACTATCATTAGGCAATGGAGCACGTCAGCTCGTTTACATTTCCAGGATACGTGCGCCCCTTTCCAGAAGGATTATATCACGGGATACACTTATACATAATATATAAAACAGCCACGTCGTCTACAGTTATATTTATTCTGTACGAGACCAGGAAATATCACAGCGTTCTGCTAAGTATCTTGCGCAGTTGTATTGCCCATGCAGATACTGGATGTTACAGACTGAGGCTTTGTTTATAATCGAGGTTATCAACTTCATAGAGGTCTTATAAATTTGTATGCAGAACTCTTCACCCATTTTATAATCGCGTCCTAATGACACTGATGTTGCACAAGGTACAGTTACTTTGCATTCAATATATAAAGAACACTCAGTCTTAAATATAAATGCCCTTTGTTTATTAATAACAACAAATGACAGTCATGGTCCACAGAGTTTGGAATTACAAAACCATAAAAATTGGTGAATTGCGTCTCTTCGTGTAAAGCATTCTTAATCTTCTTGTAATACAGGAGTCATGCCAACAACAAATAACCTATTCCAAGTGTAAATACCGGACACATGATTGCGTTGTTGTTCTGGGCTTTGGCGCCATGTAGACTCGTTGGTAGACGACGACGTTTCTGAGAAACATATTGCTTCCATCTTCAAGGCTGAAGTGGCGATGCTGGGAAATGGGTGGATTTACGTAAGGTTAAATAAAGAAAACATTTAAGGAGTGGGCCAATCAGGAATGAGGAAGAAAATTTTCCAGGCCAATAAAGAGTCACCAAGTATCGCCAATTCAGGCCTGAACATGTAGAAAGTATGTTTCTCCGAAACGTTGCCATGTACCGACAAGTCTAAATGGCACCAAAACTCGGGTCGTCGTCGTCATCATCAACATCACAACCTCATATCTCACAAGTGGTACACATACTTTAGACTGATTCTATAAAGGAAAACGGGCTTAGAGTTATCCGCTTAGCAACAGAACACTCACCTTCCTGTGTTGACAACACCGTTACACCGACAAGGCTCAAAGAAGAACATTTTATCATCAGGATGATTTAGTACATATTTTATTTACGTAGCTTCTGTATCAAGCATTCTGCTTTGGTATTTACGTAACGCATGTAATTTTTGGCTGCTAATAGCCTAAACGCCGAAACACGTCGCTGAAAATTAAAGTACCAGTGCACTGTAAAAGGAGCATAATACTAATATAAAATATATGCGCTCGATTCAATGAAACGCCTCGAAAGTTGGAAAATCTGTTGATACGAAATCTTGTATTTTAATTTCATACGCCAAATTTCATCTGGACTGATTCGGGTAACTAACTGCACTCAGGCAAAAAATGCATAATGGTACGTAAGACGCCTAGCAAGTTGATTGGTATATAAAATTATGAAGTGACATGCTTATTCCATCTATCGCATGTTTCCACTTCCTCTTCCTGAGATAAGATACATACATCAAAGGTAAATATTTGGTAATAGGTCATCGACCAAATTCTATCACATCCAGCAGGCTTTCGGGCCGAATGCGCTGTCTCTGCTGCATTTCCGTCTCCCTTCAAATTCACGAGAGTGTGGTCACTGTGTAGAAAGCATGACCATTGGCCCAGGTGATGATTAGTTCCTCTTCTTACGGGCAGACCTGAGCTGCGGCCCGCAGTCTTTGTGACGAGACAGTCTCCGAAGTTTTACGATGATCAGTAAAAAGTTAATTAAGTTGATGCCGTATGTGCTGACGCAGACCACGCAGAAATCGTACAATATAAAGTAGAGAATGTAAGCCAGGTAGACGGACAGAAGGTTGGACACGGCTGCAAGAACGAGCATCAGCTTAGTGGCCCACACATTGCACACGAAATCTGTTCATGGAAACAATTATAGTCATCATCATCATTATTCAGGTAGATGCGTCATTGCTGTAAATTACACACGCTGATGTTTTAATATTTTTAGTAAAAACAGTGTCGCCTTTTAGGATATTTTAATGATAAGAAAAAGTGTTACATTATCATATATAGGCCTTTTTATTTGTCCTTTGTTCTTGTTTAATGTGTTTGCCTTCTCATAGGTCGTTTGCTTTTGCCAGACACACTAATAAAGGAATTGACTTAAATTATTATTTACGTGATATTTTACGACCACAATTTTGTTTGCATTCCTCTTCCGCTTGGTATAAATGCTATAATAGCTGACGAAAGTGCATTCTTCATTATGCAATTTTCTCCGTCTTTATATCTGTAATATTTATAGAAAGATAAGACACTAACTAGAAAACTGGCAAGACATTATTAAAAGGTCTAGAAGATCGCGTGACCTCAGCTATTATAAAAAAAACATAATCTTGTGTTTCATACCCCGAGAGTTATCGTAAATGTGTTACTGTGTTTCACTGATAGTGGATACAGTGTGCACATTACTAGTAATGCTTCTTTCATGCCTCTTGGTATATTTATAACGGTATATCTGGTCAGAGGGAATAACTAACAGCTCTTTAATAGTTTTTGAAGCACAAGATTTATCTTCAGACGGTTTCCTTCTGCCTGATGGCCATTTAAAAAATAACCTCGAGGAATAAGTGCACCACGCGTAATTCATCTTTGCACGCTCTCCGATAAGCCGTTATCATTATTGAACGTCGATCTGTGGCTTAAGTAAACACTTCATTGTGACCTTGAGACTTGAACTTCGCCACACAGAATGAAATACGCGCATGTGTGCATTTATTAATCGTCTATTTAGGACACTTTATCAACTGCTGGATTTACGGAGGGCCGAAAGAGATTATAACTGTACATGATAATGCAGGAGGCTCGGAAGTGAGCGATCACGGGCTGGGATGAGCAATGGACGGAGTCCCTGCGTCAGAGGAAGTTTTTCTATATCAGCACATCCAGAATGGGTGCAGAGGGTCCTAGCATGCCGGGAGCTCATTTCCCACAAGGCGGCAGAAGTGTGAACGTGATCATGCACTCCGTCCAGAGCATGTAACATACCGGAACGTTTAGGTTGAAACCCCCCAAAGGAAGAAATGGACTAATATAGGATAATATTAAAATAGATTTCGCTAAAAAGGCTTTCAAATAAATTATATTAAACTACTTCAGAGACGGGTAAAATGGTGCCTTTTGTCGTGTTTACGGTGAAAATTCACGCTTCATGACATCAGGTCATTATTTGACGAACCAAATTATTATTAACTGTTTAAAACAATTCCCTGTGCCAAGAAGTCAGATAACTGGTTATGTTGTGAAATTCAATAGGTAGCCGTCTCCGGAACGAGTTTCGAACAGGGGACCTCCCGAAAACAAAGCAAGCGTTGAAAACCAACTCACTGTTAAAACGAGACTGGGGTCTGTCTGCCCACGACACGAAGCAACATTAAGATTTTTTTCACAAAACATGTTGACAGAGCAGAACTGCCACAGTGGGCGGGGGAACGGCGGAGGCTGAGTGAAAATCAAGTTCGTAAATTATTCCATTAAGCAGTTTCCAGTCAACATCACAAGAGAAGCAAATATCACGGCCTACTTGCAGCAAATTAGAACGCATCTCATATGAGTTTGTTCATAGTTCACGATCTTGAAACTGCTCGAGTGGTTAACATTTCTGCTTCGTATTCGGGAGACCCTGGGTTCAAATCTCATCCCAGAGACCGGCTATCCTGACTGGGTTTTTCTCAGTCCCTCCAGGCAAATTCCGGGATATTACCTTAAATTAGGCCACGACCGCTTCCTTCCACATACTTTCCAATTCATTGTTCACTACCATCCTCTCTGAGCTACTGGAAAAGCGTCCTTAAATAAATTACAAATAAACAGATCCTTGAAGTTGAATCCGCCGAGTAGTTTAGAGATTAAAGAAGCTCACGGATGGAAAAGACGCAAGGATGGACGAACGTGGTCTCATTATACTAGTTAATAATCACTGGTATATAAAGTTTTACCTCTACAGCGACTTGTCCGGTTTTATAATCCAGAAATTACTGCGCTCTTCCCTTTTCTAACATTTCAAAAGAATAGAGTGCCTCCATCTTCGGGGCTGAAGACCATCTACATCCCGATAGTCCTACTTGGAATCTAACCCCGGTCGTTCAGTACACGACAAGTCACTTTTCCATGTATATAATCACCATCGGCAGAATCATTATCATCACAGACATATACAAAGTCGACTCAACTGAACGGGTATACTCGTAAATGTAACTATCCACACAGAAAGTAATCAATCCAAATACGCACCTAAACTACGAATAAAATTAAATAAACCGAAATTTAATAATAAAATTTCTACACATTAAGTGGAATATAAGCCAAGATTCGGTCGTCACAAAGTTATATGTAGAATGTACCTCGTGGTAGTGTTTATACTTACTTAGCCCGATCAACACACAATAAAACAACATTCCTCCGAGACTGTTCGGCTGATTCAGTATAGAGTCTTCGCCAAAAATGTGTCGTGCAATCCCAAATCCTTTCCCATACCTAAAATGCAACCAAAAATTCAATTAGTAATATATTTACATGAGGGAAGCTCCATTCGGTTCAAAATAAGATCGATTTATTGCCATAATGTTGTCATTCAATGGCGTCAACATGTTCGGTAATATAAATATGCGAAACAACTCGAAATTTATAAGAATGAATAAACTGAAATCCAAATTCAAAGGTGTTAGTGTAAAACGTAAGACCTATAAGACCTAAAAGTTCAAGAAACACAAAACGAATCCAAACTAACAACCAAAACCAAACTAAAGTAACCCAACCTACAGAAAACTAATCATAGCTGAAATAACGTAACATAATATAACCACACGGAACCTAAACCATGCCAACATAACCGAACTAAAAATAAATAAATAAAATAAAATCATACCTCGCCTGACCAAATCCTATTCTACCCAATCTAACCTACCCTAAAATCACTTGACTGAACCAAACAGAACTAAATAGGTCAGCATAGCTTCGACTCAAATTGCTACAACTGGATGGCAGGTAACAGGAAGGTCCCTTACTTTTACAAAAACACTTCCAAGTTCCTTGGCTCTATACTCAGTTGATAATATATTTTTACTTACGATGACATGAACGCTTTGGAACAGCTCATGTGTTCACTGATGTCACACATTGCAACATAACTTTCGTCATGCTCCTTGGTCGTTTCCACAACATAAGCGTAATAGGATAACCCCATTCCAAAGAAACACGTTAGATGTATTCCTTTATTTATATCAAACGACATCTCCAAAGAAACAACTGAAGGAACGTAGTTCGTGGAATAACTCCAAAATGCTGTCTGCAGCACGTACTCCCACTTGTCGGCAGCCGATAGAACGAACAGCTGATCACTGGCGGCCTTCAACTCGATACAGCAATTGGTTCCTATTACACTTACAAGGTGGTAGCACAATACAGTGTGGAGCACATAGTTGGATTAGTTTCACATAGACAGCGGAATATGTACGACATTGATCAGTTTTAATAACGTACTGGATGTTTTAATTTACATCTAGCTCACTGATTTACAAATTATGAGAAAGAGTTACAGGGGAGAGGAGTTCGAAACGATTTTATCCAACCAATGAGAAGCATAATCGAGGGAAAACAAGATGTTCGGGAAAGAAAACTTACACAGATCACCGACGTTCAGCACCTCAAAGTACCTAGATATAACGTCAAATGTCAACCCTTCGTTATGTTTACATTTTAAATTAGACGGCCCCAAGTCCAACTAGACCTCCTGGTACTCAACCTGGTTAATTAAGTTCATTCAAGTTAGATTCAAGGCACTTACCCGATCGGAATCCTGGACGTATTTATTGTGCCACCCTCATTCGAGCCCTGTTCATCGTAACCTCTTAGATTTTAACATCCCAAGAATATTAATTGACCTGCATAAATTACGTCAGACATATCAAACAGCATTATACTAAGGCCCGGTTAAAGAAAGACGTGACTTTTCTGAGGGCCATCACACGTGTGAATAAAATCATAACCGCCGACATTTAACAATTCCTAGTTTGCTTCAGACATGTTTTCGTCCCTCTATTTTCCCACGAGCACACAGAAATGTGAATTTAAACTGAAACGTCAGCTAAATTTACCAGATTACATGGCGGAACAACACCGAAGATAGCCATCAACCCGTTTTTTCTCATGTCAGTGAGAAATGTTCTCATCCACTTACAACAGATGCCAAATTACGCAATAACTAAGTTTTCAAATAGGACATCTGAAGATATCACATTCTGAATTGAGAAGAAAAGGGCGTTTTCCGAACTTAGATGTGCTATTAATTTAGTTGAGAATATCATTTAGGCGTGTTATAGCCTTTCCCAAGTTCGATTAAGGATATAAAGCTTATTTATGCAAAATAACTTTCACTAGGTACACCCATCATAAAAATACCAAAGCAAATCACTGATGCTAATTCTTACCTTTTCTGATGATGAGGTCAGCATGTAAAAGATAAAAAGGATCATGTGAAGATGGACAAGAAACAAATCTAGTGTACGGACATAATGTGGATAGTGCAATAAGGCTTACTGCTTCATGGAATGTAAGAAGCAATATACTTTACAAAATATTTTCAGGTTCAATATTAATTCACAAAAAATCCTAAGTATGTCTACAGGACTACATTCTAAGGGTATTCTTTATTTTCTCAAATGTAAGATCCTATTTTGGAAGATACATGTTTATTACCATTTTTCTTCGAAGGCCTTGTTCAAAGATTAGCTAAACATGTGGTGACCTTACTATGACTTCAAAAACGGTCTCTGAAGGTAACAGATGCTTCCTACAAATCAATAAACTCATGGGATTAATCACTGCCAGATTAAAAAGTTTTTACTGTATCTCAATACTGGCGAAGCAGTAAGCCTGAAGAAGAAACAAGATATATCCATGAGCAATGAAAGAATACAGGATTTCATTTGATTATTAGGGTTTATAAAATTAAATACATCACATAGTACTTTTGAAACATCCTTTTTGTTTCTACTTTTAGAAACGCTATACATCATTTGACCCCTTTACAAAGGATCACATTAAAATTGCCTCACTTGAAACCGCTGAGTTCATTATGATTCCGCTATGAATGAAAAAATATGTAACAAAGATAAGGAATAAAAAGAAAAATTTACAACAGATCAAAATTATCTACAAGTGTTTTCAAATATGAAAAAAGGTACAAGTATTTTTACATCAATACTAAGTCTTTTTTACAAGCATCTTCCATTGTGAGTAGTACAACTCTGACTTCTTTGCTGTTGCTATAAAATGAGAATGTTGCATTGCTGGAAGAATACAAGATTATATTCAACAGTATCAGGAGGTTCTTAGTATCCAAGTTAACTATACAGGTTACTGTTCCTATTCTCAAACTTGAAACAACTTTGCAAAAGAAAGAAAACGGTGAAATGAAAAAAAAACAACAAAGGAACACTATAAGCATCACTGTAACACATGACCAGTCTTAGGAATTTAATGCACATGTTTATACAGAATGATTCTTGACACATTTACTACTACATCTGACTAGCAGTTATATAAAATATCCTGTCAGTAACTTCAGCATCCAACCAGTGACTGGTTAAGTGTGTGTGTGTAAATAACTACATTGTTTTATTAAATGTGCATATGAGCAGTGCTCCATGCAATGAGTGGATGTGGGAAGGTCAAGTGGCAGATCATTTCTCTGTAGAATGTATCTTGTCTATGAATTACGCAACATACAAAATCTTCCGAGATTTTGTTATAATGCGAACTTGCAACAAATCTTGCAAAATTTACTACCTTTTATAAGATTACGCATACACACATCTAGTAAGAAACCTTTTTAACCGCTTTGGTCCTGTGAAAAACAAAGTCATCTTACTTGTTCCCAACAGACATTACTATTACTTGTAGTCTTCTGTGATGTGACATTAGTACCCTCATACAAATCCACATGGAAAACCACCGATGACATCTCCACCACTGCATGAAACTCAAATCTCATGTAATACATATTAATGTTACACTGTCTAAAACCATAAATATTGTCTAAATATTTAAGCACCAAGCAAATGACAGGGTAAACAATAATATACAAAACTGGCCACTTCAGAAGGCTGTTTTTCAACCTTGACATTTTGTGACATGCAATGCAACAAAACAGTGGAAATGCTGTTAAATCTTCCCCATCACACTTAAATACTAAACCATAGCATATAAAGGACCTAAACTAGCCTAACAGTGTATACACACAGTGAATATAAATGCAGTGGTGATAGGTAAATAGAAACTGTTTTTCAGGCTCTCACATATGCCCACACATATGTAATGCCGAGTACAAATGAATATGATTCCTTTGTTTAGAAGTAATAGTTGCATCAAATACAATTTATTAATTTTAAAAATGGGGCTACAAGAAAGGTGGCAAGGTGATGCAAGGGAAGATATACAAAATAGAATGGGAAAACAGTGGATACAGATAGACAAGAAGTGCTTCTAAGTGGATAGGGAAGAATGAAGGTTTCTATCCTGCTGGAAATGCCATTGGATGATAATGTTATATAGTACAATGTCCTGGCCATCAAATGTTGGAATTGGTGCTTCCTGCATTCACACAGGTGCTGATAAATGTTAAGCAGAACAGTCTTTAATGAATCTGACATGATGTCAAATCTGAGACCTTTGGCACTGACATATTCCAGTTTTGATAGCATTTTCTCCCTAAGTCAGCAATAAGTTTAATGGCCCTCTTTAACCCTTTACATGCTATGCAAAGATGTATAGAAGCACCAACACTTCTCTGAATTTATGCATCCCATTATATCTGAACAAGCTATCTGTGGTTTATCAACAACAGAAATTATGTATCAGGGTGGAAATATGTATAAACAGAAAAGAAGTTCCCTTAAATAAAGCCCAGCATGGAAAGGGTCAAAGGCCTTATTTAAGAATCACTCTGTATTATTATGTGTTTTCTACAACTGTTCACATGTACTGGAAGTCTCTTCCACTTGAAACTGCAATAAACGTTTTGATGATATAGGCACTAATTCTGTCTGGTACATTTTTAAATACACAATTTCAAGGAATTACATATACAGATGGTCATTCTAAGGAACAGTGAGCTGCTGTGCAAGCCGGTTTTAGCTATTATAAACTCATAGAGATTGTACAGCAATCTTTAACCAAAATATACAAATACAGATTAATATACCAGCCCCATATAAAATCAATTCAGATGACCAAAGCTACAGGCTATAAATCATGACTTACAAATAATGATCAAGAATATGTTAACATAAATAAACATTCTCCCATTTTCTCCCCCACCTAATACCAAATACAGAATCTGATGGTGCATAAAATTGTGTCAGGTACTTGTGTAAAGTTATTTTACTAGAAATTAGCACTACAAATTTTGGCATTCAATGTGATGATACTTAGTTTTTCAGGTGTATGAGCATGGAAGAACAAATGCATTCTGAAGCAAAAGCAAACACCTAACCAGCCACATTACATTTATGATACAGCACTCAGGATTCCACATTCCATGGCCCTCCCTGTTGGTCACTATACACACACACATTAATATAAATTCTTGGACAGTCCGAGACCAGGTTCATTTAACATCAAGAACAGAATATAAAACACAAAAAAATATGACCTTCATGTTATAGGGGCTGGAGAATTACTCTGTATCTGTAGCCCAACACACACAATGAATTACCCCAATCTACCTTAAAACCTTGTTAATTTTTTCAAAGTATCTGAAAGAACACATAAAAGATGGTATTACTTCCTTACGTCTCATTAATTTTCCTAAAGATATTCTCTTACCCCTCTTATTCACTTACTAATCAAAATTTTGAACAAATCCAATCAGGTCCTTTTCTTGTTGCTTCTTGAAAAACAAATGCAATGCAGGTTACAAGCATATGTGAAATTCTTAAGCGGGGAATATGGACTATTGGTAATTAAACATAAGTTGCAGACAGACCAGAAGTTAGACTGTCTTTGGATTGCAGAGCACTTAATGTGGATATTACAAAGAAAAACACTAAAATAAATCAAAGCAATACAAGTGGAAGATGTATACTCCAATGTAGAATACTCAAAAGTTTTTCTCTACACACCTTTCTCCTCCTTGAACCTCATTAAATATTCCCATTTTGAAAACGGTTTCAAATTAAAATTATGAATCTCAATAAGATACATATTTTGTGGTATGTACTCTTCTTTTGAATGATGAGCGATTTTTCTGAAATCTTAAGGAGTCTGATTTGAGCTTCATATGGAGCAATATTAAGCTCACCTTATAATAAGTGGAAGTGTAGAAAGCCTTACACAATTCAATCACATGCTCACTTTACGCATTAAATGCGCCAAAATCATATCTAACAGTTATCCAATTCTAATGAACCACTTTTTAGTTGCTTACATAACAGACACTAGTGAATGCATGTTTCACAAAAAGCAACTTCAATTTACACTTCTGTGTTAAGCACAATTTTCCTGGAATGCACCTATTACATAAATTGGGTATATGAGTGTCTTATCAAGAGAACATAAATGGAGGTACCTTCACCTTGGGAGTTAAACAAGTGTAAATGAGTCTGAAATCTCTAAGATTATATCACAGGTAAAGATTAAAAAGGAAATGGAGCCAGAAAAATAAATAAAATAGCTACACACATACACACACTATGAAAACCACACAAAAGTAAAATCTTCACTAAAAATTTTGTAGAAAGAGGAAATAAAGAAGCATCTACTGCAAATCAGAGATATTTTTTATATCTATGGTGTGTCTGTCATGCTGTGAAGTCAAGTGTTTCTCCCCAAAGGTAAAAAGTTCAAACTTGGTCCACATCACTTCCTTTGCAATGTAATTGGGGTCTCTGTCTTCACCACCATGCCCAGACCAGCTCTGGGGCTCACCTAGACCTCCATCAAATAGATGTCAGGGTCTTATTTCCAGGGGCCAAGGTAAAGCTGTTCACCTCCATCAAAGTTAAGACTGTAGAGAGTTTTACCTCCACTCTCTTACACATGATCTTGCTGTGGCACTTAGGGGTAAGGACTACTTTATTTTAGACTTTCACTTCAATAAATATAATACATTCCTTTAACGATTAGGATCTGCACCTTGAGATCCACAATAACATTATTTACATGGCAACAAGTCACTTAAAACATTTCTGAGGACTAGATACTACCAATTCCATTGCTATCTTTATATTTTGACATTTCAATGTAACTGACTTCCAAAAAATTTCCAATTCATTATTGGCAATTCAGATATAAAAACATGCTAAAGAAATTAAATTTAGAGAAAGAACATTATGAAAAGGCAATGAAACCTTTAAACTGTTGAGGAAGGTTATCTTATGCTTCATCTCAGTACGTGTAATGAAACAAAACATTACTAGTTTGCACTTCATTCCACAATGTAAGATCATAGAAAAAGAATTATTCTAATAGTGACATTTTATTATAAAATTTAAAAACAGCCAAGTATGATAACAACAGAGTGTGAATTATAAGAACAGGTTCACTGTTCACTGTTTGCCTTGAAACATACCTTTTTTGTAAAAAGATAACTAATTCTTTAAAAGATAATAATGACAATGAAATCAGAATAAATTATTCACAGCAATAAAATAAAATTATACTATTCACTTTACATAACATAACAAGCTTTAAAAGATGGGTAAAATATGGTTATGACTTTTACTCATAGTTGAATCTTTCAAACTGTACAGTTCATATCGCAGACATGCTGGCACCTAAGAAAACCATCAAAAGACCCAGAATCAGTTGCAAAAACTGTTCCACTGCACTTAGAACTTATGCCAAAGGGTTATACCTAGAACAGTGTAAACTTTATTTGCTTTGACCAAGTGCATTTGGTATTACCACGGGAAGAGATACAGCTGGTATCTACAGAATGTTTTATACCAAGCAACTTGAAGTAATATGTATTGCTTGGCTCCTTGGTTCTAAGGTTATGTTGAAATAGTTCCTTCTTTGAAATCCTATTAAAGCAGCACCATGTCTTGTCCCATGTCATAACTGAGCAGGTTTTCATGGCACTAATGCTTTATACTTGAATTTCAGAAATGCCAAGTTTTAATTCGTGGTTTTGTGTGAAGCCATGAAAACCAAAATCAGGAAAATATAAACCTTATAACTCTGAATATGAAGCAGGAGTGATAACCAATCAGTTGTGACATTCAGTATAAATATTTATATGATATGTTAAAACCAGTGTGTTCATATAAAAAGAAAAGTATTTATCTATGAAGTATAATCCTTGTAAAGCCTACAATGCATGTCAGTGCTGAGCAATTTTAAAAATTTGTTGCAGTTACCCGCAGTAGTCCTAGAGGGGTATCTACTGAAAACTTTATAACCACTCCACAACAGCCACAGTTTTCCTGAAACTCAATAATACCAAATGCATTTAGTTAAACAAATGTAGTTACAAGAAGAATGCATTGAAAGACATTTGTATCATGCAAAGCTGCATTAGAAAAGGTATCATAAGAGTGGAAAACTCACCACCCAGATAAAGACTCCATAAGATGCAACAGGATTTTTGGCCATTCACAGAGACAATTTCAGTTCATACGAACTGAAGTCAAGAAAGCACTGTGTGTGTGTGTGTGTGTGTGTGTTGGCAAATTTCTTCTGAACCTGTGAAGGGACCTACCCAATGTGTGTACAATTAATTCTTGTCTGCGAAACTTTTCAGGAATATTCTATTTATCCAAATACTGCATGCAGCACATTTTTCTAAAATTCTTGAATCAAAAACCAGATGCACAGATGCTTTGATTTGGGCAGAGAAAAGTAAACAAAGCCTGAGGAAAATTAATATATCACATACTACACGTAATGAGACTGTCATGCGTGATTTTATGCCTAAATTATCCAACAGCATACTGGTTGGTTGTCTGTAAAGGTACAATTATACATAGTATTTGTCAATATTCAAAAACTATTACACTTTAAACAAACCTTACATAAAAACATTTCCTCTGAGTCTGAAAGATTGGGGTAATACACTGAAGTGTATAAATGCCTTCACTTGAAAATTACATTGAAAACAGCACAACAAATTAAAATTTACAATGAACACTTCATAAGAAGTATTTTTGAGCTTCATGCAGGCCTATTCTGAAGGAAGGACAATGCATAATAAAAGTCATAATACACTGTTTATGAGAACACTGAGTAACACAGAACATAAAGAACAACCTAATATCAGGTTACGGTAAATAATGGGGCTATTTCGAACTGCCTTTGGACCAAGAAGTATTGGAAGAAAAATTCCATTACTAAAAATTGCTAATACCAATTGTTTGCACTTACTGAACATTACCAGAAGATAGAGAAAACAACATTATTAATAAGAAACGTGGACAACATATTTCAAACTCTGACTGGTGGTCCAAACTTGAGTTGAACTCAATTTTCTCATACCCAGTTGTACATACAGTGAATTAACATGTACTAGGGGCACAAACACTTGCAATTTTGTGAAAATATAGATTCTACTATATTGATTTGCCAATGGTTTAAACTTATAATATGTATGAAAGGGTAAGATCGATGTAGGGCCAAATTATTAATATTAAATTTATTTGCAGGCCATATGTAACAAATATTAAAGTAACATGGGTGGTAAATAATTTAAGACAATTTTACGGCTGCAGCAACCACTGTCCAAGAACCCATCCATTGATTTTGTATATTTTACATCATGTGAAAGAAGCATTCAAAAGCAAGTGAATTCAATCAAAATTCATGTAAATTGTTTTATAAATGTCTGTCCCTGAAACTAGCCAAATGATTTATACCAGCAAAAATTACTTCCAAAAGATAAATTAATAGTATTTTAATATCAAATTTAATTAATTCTCTCATTCCAAGTGTGGCAGTTTGAAACAACCTAGAGAGGGAACAAATCTATTTGGCTGGACAGTCAGAGATCTGCAATGTAAGCATCTGGACCACAGCCACTTAAATGCTCCTCTTCCTTCAAACTTTTAGTTGAACATCTCATGTTATTATGGCCATAGCAGGACATCACAACAGATGGTAGCACCTATTAAAGCAACTAATAAATTATTTCACAGTTTATTTATTTTATAGAGACTCAAAGTGAAGTTGAAGCTTAATGCTATATCTGTAGGAATGAATACTTTTTAAAATTGCTTGTTATTTCATTCTGAAAGACAGTTTACATTAAAAAAAAGGATTTTTTCACGCAAAAATATGACAGATTGCTCATTCAATGTAAAAAAGCATTCCACTCATTTTATGTATAAAAAATGGCTGGGTCTAATATGCCATAATTCAGCTTCTTTCTCATTTGGTGTGGTTAGTTGAGAGACTCTCAACAAACAATTGTCAAACCAATTTCACATTTTGGCCAGAAGTGCACATACACAATGTACTGAACTACAGGAGCAGAACTCAGGTCCACTGTTGGTATTTAAATTACATTCTCTCTTTTTGTAATAAAATAAATTAGCACACAGACAGACAGACAGAGTTTCCTTCTTGCAAGTCAAACAACACACAATGACTCAGTTAGCTTAATCACAAGACCAGACATAGCAAACAGCAGGAAGCAGAACTGAGAAAATGGCCGTCAATGTGCAGGGAAGAGATCGAAAACTGGCCAGTCACAACTCCCTGGTTCCTCTCTGGTCTTGTGAGGCTGCAAATGGGAACACATTCACACAGGGCAAGAGTGGCTATCATCGCGATTGTGAAGACTCCTCCTTCTTGTGCAAGTCCACCACTTGAGTGCCATCCAGCTGCCTGGTTGAAGGAGGCGTTGGGCACGCCAGTTTGTGTCCTACAGGCCCCGGTCCAGGTCCAGGTCCAGGTCCTGCCCGATGATGGAGATGATGGTTGTTCTGCATTGCTCCAGAGGGACTAGGGGCCTTTCCCCGTAAATGGGGTCCTGGGTGTGGTGGGTAGGGTTGAAATAACTTAGCATGCTCCTCTTCTTCAGCCCTGAATGCAGCAGCCATCAATGGATTGAAACGTAGCTGTTGAAGTGGGTCAAACCTGTATGCATTATCTCTGAAAGGATCTGCTCCTGGCCATGTAGAACCAGGACCAGTGGCAAAGTGTGGTGGTATTGGTGGACCACCCAACACTGGTGGAACCACCCTGGACCGGTCCAACAATGCTGGTGGGGGGGGAATTCCATGAGAGTGACGGGACAAATAGTGATGGGGATGGTAGCGAGCGTCAGTTGCCGCTCCGGGCCGACTTAACAAGACCACTTCGTCTTCCTTGCCAGTCCGAGGTTCTTCCTTTACTCTCACCCCATCACCATCTGGTGTAGTTCCATTGCGAATGGGTGACCTGTCCCGAGATATAATTTTGTTGCTGTTTTCAACACGCTGCTGGTGAAGAAGACGTTCCCGCTCTAATTCCCGTCTTTCCAGCTCTCTCCTCTCCTTTTCCCTTCTTTCCCTTTCCCTCTCACGTTCCCTTTCCCTCTCCCTTTCACGCTCACGTTCCCTCTCACGCTCTGCCTCCAACTTACGCTGTTTCTCTTCTCTCTCACGTTCTCGCCGTTCTCTCTCACGCTGCTCCTCCCGTTCTCTACGACAACGTTCCCTCTCTCGTTCCCTCTCCCGCTCCCTCTCACATCTCTCTCTTTCACGTTCCTCAAGTTCCCTCCTCTCCAGTGGATTTGGTTCTGGTTTCAGACCCCATGGACTTGCAGCCGATGTTGGGAAACCGCCCGCGGTCCGTTGTAGTCTAAAATAAAAATATTTAAATGCATAAAAAATAGCACAGAATACTTTCAGATTACAACAGATTTACTTCTGGTGTCACTCACCGGCTCCAGGGATCATGAACAGGCCCAAGGGTTGGCAGGGGAGGAAGGTCTCGTGGTGGTGGAAACACTGATGTTCCAAGACCAGGAAAAGCAGAGTTTGGACCACCAAAACTTGCAGGATAGCGTCCAAATGGAGACACTCCACCACCTGAAACACAAGAGACCATAACAATGGGAGTCACCTGCCAAACATCAAGACATTACTTTCATACACATCCTACTTACCAAGATGACTGGCAGGCGGGTTGAGAAAGTTGCTTGGGTGAGGTGCTGTATCAAACGGTGGTCCTCTGTGTCCTGACAGAGAAGTTGCAAATGAAGGTAGGTCATGAGGACGGGGTGGAGCAGCCAAGCCACTAGGAAACAGATGGTTCGGTGGCCTAAGCAGTTCAGCCTTTCCAGCTCCAGCTTTTGCCTCTTGTTGCTGCTTCTGCTGGTGGTGATAGATTTCCCAAGCAATGCGCACGTGCATTGCATTCCAACGACCTGACTTCTGTAATCAAAGAGTTAACATGCCTATATAGTTATTCTTTTAATCATAAACTATGTAACATAATATTCACTTGTTTTATAGTGCACAAATAATAAATCCACTAACAAATTATATAAATTACTAAAATCAATGCATAATAATGCAAAGACAGCAAGAATTCAGCAATTGTGATGAAATACATTTTCATTGTAATCTATTATTTGAAGAATCACATATAATCTTCTTGGCACTGTACAGTGTCCAAATAATAACTATTAAAAATACAGAGGAACTTGTTGACTTCTTCATTAGTGCTAAAATGAAACAAAAGAAATGCCACATGCCTTTATTCTTTTCAATGGTACAATGTTATTCACAGTGTGTCCACAGGATTGAAAACACATGCTAAAGATGGAGAAATATGAGCAACACTGAAGCAGGTGCAGCAAAACTTAAAAAAGAATGGCAGAATTTAACTGTAAATTTATAGCTAGATAGAGTAACAGAAACACAGTAGCTCAAAATTACTCCAAATGTTAAAAAATATAAAAAGTCTCTGAAACCAATGTTAATATAAACAAGAACATGGACCTTCACTGAAAATGTGGAAAGCAAGTTATAAGTTATACAAATAAGTTTTGAGAAGCAACAAAAGGTGAGGGGAAAAGAGAAACCAAGATTAGAAAAAATAATATTAATTCTTGGAATTCACGCGATATTATGTCTACAGCTAGAAGGAAAACTGAATACATCTGAGATGGAACTATAGAACATTGCAGTGATTTTTAATTCACTGTTTCAAAGAAACATCCTACTTTAAGTCAGAGAACATATGTGTTTTGTGAAGCACCTTTAACATTTCTTACACAATGATTTCTTCTAGTACTCTGGAGTTGCCACTTACATTATTTCCTACCTATTTTGAATTGCATGCATTTATGAGCAACCAGTTCCTAAAACAAATGTTACTTTAATGTTATAAGAAACATCAAATGGACTTGCTCTGCTGTGACACAATCAGGTATAAAACTTTAAACATTTATTGTGTTATAACAAAAGTTCAAAGCGGCATTCATTATTATGTTACACACTCTGTTCCAACACAAAAAATGGCACAGGACTTCAGAGATGAAGGAGAAAATGTATTAGTCAGGGAAGAAATAATTTGGCAGGAGGACTTTGTCCACGCAGGCTGCAATTTACTTTGTGAGTGAAATGCCGTTACAATAAACCACGGACAACCTCAACCCTGACTTGCTCTAGTAAAGCCATATTGTACGGAACATTAAATAAAAACATGTAACAAATTTTGTAAACTGTCAAACAAAAATTCTTCTTTTCAATATTCTTATCAGACATGTTAACACATTTTTAACTGTTTAAGAATGTGGAGTTAGGTATCAAAATCTGACCTATTCTCACTATGCAGCTTCATGATCAATCAAGCATTATGACATCAACTACAAGATGCATATCTTGTCCAAACAGATTCTTAAGTATAATCTTATGGCAGTGCTAAAGACAGTTATTCATAATACAATATGAACTCTGAACAACATTCCAAAATAATCCACATTTTATGCTATAACTGATGCAATTAATTTATTAGTATGAGTATAATGTAATATTCATTGTGGCTAATGAATGCATTTACATTATACTCAATCTTCCTGACCTGAACCCGCACAAGGAATTGTTAATGATGCTGTATCAATTGTAGATACTATGTTGGGTAAAATGCAAGAGAGGATCACTATGGAAAGGACTGGGCAGGAAGCAGATGTGACCTATTTCATGGCACTGTCCCAAAATACTGCCACACAAATGGTTTGAATAGCACCTATGGCAAGAACTTCATCACCAAAATTACTAGGATTAGATGATACTGAAGGGAGGCAGATTCAAAATTATGATATTATTAAAATGATAAGAAATGTGCCCCAAAAGAGCTCTCTTCAAAATTAAAATTTGTGAAACTAAATATAATTACCATGTGCACTAAGTGCAGCTGGATAAAAACAATTTTGTTACTTAAACATTTGTTGCATCGAGAATTCACTGTTCAAGGTCTTCAAATTTCAACTTATACATTCCTTAACAGGACTAAAAAACATGTTAGAATATAACTTCCCATCATAAATATTATATAGTAAAATAAACATTAATTAGGTTCAAAATGGAGCCAGGTAGAAGACACCTACCACTGGTTTAGGTTTCGAGGGGTCACCCATCTGCTGTGGAAAAACAAAGAAAACAAAGCGTTACTCAATGGATAAAGCTAAAAGCCAATAAATAAAGTGATAATCAAGCATTATTTCTGGTGTGCCAGTAGTAAACACATATAAAATAAAACTATGGGTCAGCAGTTGCAGTGCATAAATAAAAGAATAAGTCACATAGTTTGTAGCTCAGCCATGCAAACATTAACACAACAAAGAACCTTTAACAGTTCATCAAATACAGCAAAATGTCATTAACCAAGGTAATTTAAAAGATGTAAAGTTTTCACAGCTACCAAATGTAATAAAAATTAAGTCTTCTTGGGCTATGCAACACAGTAAAGGTATTAAAATCATGATTTTATATTCCTAAAATTAATGCACAACCCAACAATTTAGAACAAAACATCAAACTCCTGCTTCAACTGAAAGAATGAAGGAAATCAAGGATTTATCTTCAACATACATTAGACAACATTTTCCCCATCTTTTCAGTTAAAATAATTTCACATTTGGAAAGTTATTGTGTCCAAAATTAATTGCCCCAATAATCAACATTATTATGTTACACACTCTGTTCCAACACAAAAAATGGCACAGGACTTCAGAGATGAAGGAGAAAATGTATTAGTCAGGGAAGAAATAATTTGGCAGGAGGACTTTGTCCACGCAGGCTGCAATTTACTTTGTGAGTGAAATGCCGTTACAATAAACCACGGACAACCTCAACCCTGACTTGCTCTAGTAAAGCCATATTGTACGGAACATTAAATAAAAACATGTAACAAATTTTGTAAACTGTCAAACAAAAATTCTTCTTTTCAATATTCTTATCAGACATGTTAACACATTTTTAACTGTTTAAGAATGTGGAGTTAGGTATCAAAATCTGACCTATTCTCACTATGCAGCTTCATGATCAATCAAGCATTATGACATCAACTACAAGATGCATATCTTGTCCAAACAGATTCTTAAGTATAATCTTATGGCAGTGCTAAAGACAGTTATTCATAATACAATATGAACTCTGAACAACATTCCAAAATAATCCACATTTTATGCTATAACTGATGCAATTAATTTATTAGTATGAGTATAATGTAATATTCATTGTGGCTAATGAATGCATTTACATTATACTCAATCTTCCTGACCTGAACCCGCACAAGGAATTGTTAATGATGCTGTATCAATTGTAGATACTATGTTGGGTAAAATGCAAGAGAGGATCACTATGGAAAGGACTGGGCAGGAAGCAGATGTGACCTATTTCATGGCACTGTCCCAAAATACTGCCACACAAATGGTTTGAATAGCACCTATGGCAAGAACTTCATCACCAAAATTACTAGGATTAGATGATACTGAAGGGAGGCAGATTCAAAATTATGATATTATTAAAATGATAAGAAATGTGCCCCAAAAGAGCTCTCTTCAAAATTAAAATTTGTGAAACTAAATATAATTACCATGTGCACTAAGTGCAGCTGGATAAAAACAATTTTGTTACTTAAACATTTGTTGCATCGAGAATTCACTGTTCAAGGTCTTCAAATTTCAACTTATACATTCCTTAACAGGACTAAAAAACATGTTAGAATATAACTTCCCATCATAAATATTATATAGTAAAATAAACATTAATTAGGTTCAAAATGGAGCCAGGTAGAAGACACCTACCACTGGTTTAGGTTTCGAGGGGTCACCCATCTGCTGTGGAAAAACAAAGAAAACAAAGCGTTACTCAATGGATAAAGCTAAAAGCCAATAAATAAAGTGATAATCAAGCATTATTTCTGGTGTGCCAGTAGTAAACACATATAAAATAAAACTATGGGTCAGCAGTTGCAGTGCATAAATAAAAGAATAAGTCACATAGTTTGTAGCTCAGCCATGCAAACATTAACACAACAAAGAACCTTTAACAGTTCATCAAATACAGCAAAATGTCATTAACCAAGGTAATTTAAAAGATGTAAAGTTTTCACAGCTACCAAATGTAATAAAAATTAAGTCTTCTTGGGCTATGCAACACAGTAAAGGTATTAAAATCATGATTTTATATTCCTAAAATTAATGCACAACCCAACAATTTAGAACAAAACATCAAACTCCTGCTTCAACTGAAAGAATGAAGGAAATCAAGGATTTATCTTCAACATACATTAGACAACATTTTCCCCATCTTTTCAGTTAAAATAATTTCACATTTGGAAAGTTATTGTGTCCAAAATTAATTGCCCCAATAATCAACAAAGTGTCATGAAACTAAAAATGACAAATGTCTCATAATTCTAACACAAAACAGTAGCAAATTTCACACTTACATTCACCGCAATTATTGTACAAGATTATACCTTTGGTGTAAATGTGGGGAGATGACTGGGTGGAGCAAAGGGAGTAGAACCCCCTAGACTAGGATGTAATAAACCTGGAGAAAATCCAGGGTAGCTTGTGAGTCCAAGATTCTGCCTGTAAAATGGAGAATCCACACCACCTAATTTCGGGATTTCCTTAAACTGAAAGTGAAACATACAACACCATTAAATCACAATCACAAGAGATGCTATTAAACATCTGCATCTAAAATTATTACTTTGATTCTTTAAAGCAGTATTTCCTACATCAATTCACAACCTAACTCAGTCATGGAGATCCCAAGTAGGTTATGACAAATCACCAGAAAAATTGTCACACATTTCTGGCCAATTTATGA